TTTACCAAAGAGACACAAGGATGATGTACTAAATCGCTGTGGCCATATTTGTCAGAATAACAAGCTGCTGACACTATCGGAAGCTAATTGACACAGAAGAATGGAGCATCTACAAAAACATGTAAGCTCGCAAGTGTACACAGAATGCATGACTTCCGTCAGTGAATTAAGCCAATTGTTCACACAGTCCAGAGGTCACTTGGGCAGAGACTGGCATCTTTAGAAAAAGAAGCTCAATGTTTTCAGAATGAATTCCTCAAAGCAAAGCAAAGTGGGTGTGTGGTGGGGAGGGAGAAGAAGGTATCCTTTTCCACGGTTGCTATTAATGATTGTGAGGAATCATTTAAAAATTAAAGGCACAATTCAGATGATTTAAGATAACATCTAATACACTGATTTTAAAGAAAGAGATAATACTTTCAGATGTAATTAAGTAATACATGCATGGAGTTAACAAAGCATCTGACAAAGAAGCTCTTTTTTTACAAAGTTTTTATGCCAGCCCAGTTTATCTTTTCCTCATTGTCCTCTGACTAGCTGCAAGATTTTTTTAGCAGTATTAACACTGGAAGGATGGTGAAGAAGGGCTGAGGAAACATAAATTTTCAGTATAGGACTATAGCAGTGTCTTGCAATAATGCAATAAAGTTTAATCTAGGGAATAGTAGGATTCTATTCTAATTGATCCTTATGCAGCTGTATGTGACTGCCTACAACAGGCAAAGTAAACAGCTACTGCCGCCAGAATTCCTTACTGAGTATGAGTGAAGAGCAAAATAGAGAGAAACAGGGAAGTTAAATAAGGTTGCCTCACTAGATGCCCCAAGCATGTTTTTAAAAACAAAAACAAAACAGATCTAGCCATCAAAAATGAAATCCTAAGAAAAATGGAGGCTCAAGAAAGAAAAAAATCATCTTTGGATGCATTCTGGAAAAACTTTTCAAGTCGTTTGCAGAAGGTTCCTTTAAGAAAAACTTTTGTCACTCAACCTGGTTTCTTTTTACATGTGTATATTGTTAGTTTTGAATAAAAAGTTTGCTCAAACATATTGAACTACTCTTCTTTTTTGTGTGTAGGAACTTATCCCTATTCTGCATCTGGTACCAAATTTTGCGTTAAATAAGTAATGCACAGAAACACATCTAATTCATTAACTGAGGTACAGCTGTTATCCTGAAAATTGCAGGTTAAATTCCCATGCCCTTTAAAAAAGGTTCCTTTGAATTGTGCTTTGTTTTTAAATACTTCCCCCTCCCCTTCTGTGTTTCTGCCTTCATTCTTTCCAAATTTACTTCACTTCTCTGTTTTCAAGTGTCTTGCATTTCCTCTTCACAACTGCTAAACATTTCTGTACTTCTTATGTAGGAAGCCATAATGAAGCAATTAAAATAAAGTGAGACAGAAAAAGCCCTCAAAGGCTGCATCTGCACTCCAGAAATAGTGCAGTTTGACACTGCTTTAACTGCCCTGGCTCAATGCTATGGAATTCTGGGGATTGTAGTTTTATGAAACATTTAGCTTTCTCTGTCAGAGAGCTCTGGTGCTACAACAAACTACAAATCCCAGGATTCCATAGTACTGAACCACGGCAGTTAAAGCGGTGTAATGCTGGATTATTTCTGCAATGCAGATGCAGCCAGAGCGGACAATAGTTTACTCATTCCAAGCTTCTTTGAGAAGATCTACAACCACAGTTCCAAAATACGAGGCTGAAAACCTGTTGCTGACGTACACACGTGACTTGAGGTTCTGTGCACAAATGTCTTCTTTTGGATGGGGTGCAAGGGGCTGTTCCATAAGATTCATTCAAAAACCTGCCTCTGACAGCTGCCACATTCTAGAGGAGTGACTACACTCATTAAATAGTCAAGGGATGGGGATGGAAGGAGAGATGCAACTGAGACACAGAGACTGCGGCTGTGTCCACACGGAAAAAATGTTGCTACCCTGATTTGTTCAGATGACTCATGGGGCCAAAACAGGATATGGATCCAATCCACACTCTAGCGTGATTTTCTGGAGTAAAAAAAGCCCCCATTTGTTCCGAATCAGGCTGGAAACACTAGAGAATCCCTGGGAGCATTGGCTGGACCCATGTTTTACCCATTTTGGCCCCTTGAATCATCTAAACAAGTCAATGCTGAATGGGATGGGAATGTTTCTTTTCCTCCATGTGGACAAGGCTGCAGTCTCTGTGGCTTAGTTGCATCGCTCCCTCCGTCCCCATCCCCTTGCCGTTTAATGAATGTAGTCACTCCTCTAGAATGTGGCCAATAGTCAGGGATTATGGAAGTTTGTGGTCCAAAACATCTGGAGCAGGGGTAGGCAACCTAAGGCCCGGGGGCCGGATGCAGCCCCCCGAGGCCTTTGGACCAGTCCCAGGCCGGTCCTGCCGCGGCCGCTGCCGCCCACAATGATGATATTGATTATTGTTGTTATTACTTGTTCTTGGGGTTTTCTTGGCAAAATCTCCACAGGGGTTTTGCTATGTCTTTTCTGGGGCTGAGAGAGTGTGCATGCATATTTTTTTAATTTTTTAAAAAAATATTTTAAAATATTTATTTATTTATTTATTTTTGGTGCTTCAGCCCCCCAATTGTCTGAGGGACAGCAACCTGGCCACTGGGTCAAAAAGGTTGCCTACCCCTGATCTGGAGGGTAGTAAGTTACCTAACCCTGATCAACAAAAATTGCTATATCCCAGCTGTGTTACTATACTACAATCTTTGTCCTATCAACATCAGAATGTACCAGAACTATACCTTTCAATTTAATCACTTGCAGGCAGTAGCTTCTACATCAGTGGGACAGTCAACCCAACTGGGTTTTACTCTGAATTCTAAATGAAACATCCAGAGTGCTGAACCTTATCCTAAAAATAGGTAAAGTGCCTTGAAAACTTGCGAAATACCCAGATTGAGTTCACTACCTTACTGCCATAGGAGCCCTTAGCACCAATGAATCAAATTTAATACTACTATTTCAGCCTTAACATATCCTTCCCACTTTGCTGTTGCTAACTGCAGTCAAGTTGACTTTGACTTATGGCAATCTCATGAATGAGAGATCTCCAAGTCAGCCTATTATCAGCAGACTCAAGGTTATGGCTTCCTTGATTGAGTCTATCCATCAGTACGCTGTAATGATTGAATCTATCCATCTATCTATCCATCCATACTGTCTTCAACTTTGCTAAGCATTATTGTGCTTTCTAGTGAGTCATGTCTTCTCATGATATAATAATAATAATAATAATAATAATAATAATAATAA